GTCCTCTAGGCCTGGATGGAGCTGTGCTGGGGGAGGAGGCTCAAGTGGAGAATGGCTCCAAAGGGTGGCAGCAGTGGGCATCTAGAGACAATAACACCTGGTGACAGCCCACAACCTCATCCCCCCTTGCCTTCCTTTCCATTGCCTCATCTCGGGTCCACAGCCAGCACGCACAAGCACAGGCACAAGAGATAGGTACCTCATACGGTCTTGGAGTGCCTGGCAGGGCCCAGCTGGTGTCCAGATCGGCAGGGCGGTGGCGAATTACCAGCTAGGACCCAGTCCCTCCCTGTGAATCCAACAGCCACATGGGCACTGCAGCTCCAGGACAGCACCCAGCACCCAGAGACCCATGGCTGCTCTCTAGTCCTTGGTCTCCTCCAAGCCTGGGGCAGCTTGCCTCGGCTTCTGAGGTGGCACCACTGCCAGGCTCCCGCTCTGATCCAGAAAGGTTCTGTGCAAGTGCAGTTACCCCCTTTGCAACATTAGCAATAGTCTACCATAGAAAGAACAGAGATTCTGACAGACGACTGGATATTTTTGAGGAAAAAATCTCGTCCCCTCACCCAGCAAGCAGTTCCCGAGGACTACTGCAAGCATGGCCCTGATCACAAGCACATCTCCTGCTTGGTTCGCACCCTTTTCAGTGCTGCACAGCTGAAGATGCAATTTGGGGTATGTGGAAAGGCTTTTAGCCTATGCGGAGATTGACACGTGCCTTAGGAGCTGTAAGAAGTCCTAGGAGCGAGGATGCTGGCTTCTCAAGTAGGGATGATCAGGCTCTATGGGATGTGGATTATTGCCAAAGACTGACGTACCTATTAAGGAACCATGAGGGCATGAACCCTCCTTGTGTGGATTTCCTAGAAGAACCTGGTTAGAGTCTGTTTTTCCATGACACTGATCAATGAGATATCCCACCCAGCTGTCTACCAGAGCTGGGGAAGGTATCTCCTGGAGGTCTGCATTTCAATTAGGGAAGTCTTTTATTTTATAACAGAAGTGTAAATCTCTGAAAGAATTTGCAGCAGGGGTCTTATGAATTACAGAAACAGACATATCTTTTTCTTCTTTTTATTTGATAGTTTCTGGATTCATTTGTGTCTCGTTGTCACAGCTGTCTCATTAGCTCTTATCTTGATTCAAGATATGTTTGACCATGGCTAGTGTCTCTGTCAGCAGCCATTGTTCCTCTACACAAGACTGTTTACAAAGTTGACATTTACCTTCCTTCTCCCTTGTTTCCAAACATATTTGTTAACTTACAACCACTAATACTCAAAATACTATGCTCCATGCCAGATATGTTAGAGTTCTTCCACGTTTAAAATGTAGCACCTGTCATTAGCAGTCCATCATTCTACTATTCCGTTGACTTGGCTGTAGAAATACTTCAAGACATTTGGCAAAGTCACCAAAGAAAGAATTTCTCTTCCCAAATGCAGACCCTTGAAACAATAGATGAGTAAAAAGTCATTCTTTACAGTCAATAGGAGGAGATTAACTCTTTGAAAGAGCAGTTGATTTCACCATTCTTCGGAATATTATTTTGGAACAAGATGAAACATGTTTTCAGAGAATCATAGAATCGTTTATGTTGGAGGAGACCTTGAAGATCATGAAGTCCAACCCTTAACTTAACTTTGTCATTTCCACCACTAAACCATGTCCCCAAGCTCCACATCTAGAAGTCTTTTAAATACCTCCAGGGATGGTGCCTTAAGCACTTTCTTCCATTTACACAGGTCTGATAAAACAAGTCCAGGTGAGCTTCTCAGATGAAGGCATCGCCATGTGATGAAAAAGAGAAACAGTATAGGTTTTATTTGACTAACCTCTAGGTCTCCAAGTGAGACACTGCAGTCTGAACTGATTGTCTTCTCCTCCCTGCTAGAAGCAACAGTACTTCTGGAGATGATTCAAGTATACCCTCTGTACATCTGTTCTGGAATGGGAGAAATCTCTCTCTAAAAGTACCAATTTTCATGCACATGTGCTGATTCATGAATCCAGGGCATCTACATATCACCACCAATATGGGGCAATTGAACCAAGCCTCCTATACTTCCTGTTCTTTCTTCTTGCAGAGAACATCTGTAAAAGTTTGTCTTACCTTCACAGCGCCTCTGAAAAACTGGAACAGGGAGGACTCTTAGGGTAGTCCAGGCTGTCTTAAATGAACTGGGTGATGTTTGCTGGGCAACAGACCCAAATCAGTGGATGGGATCCGCTTGAAGAGCCATCACCCTCTAGCTGAGCACCCATCTGTTGTTATGTAGTTGATGGGGTCTGTACCGCTGCATTTTCTCATGGTCATACACTCAACACCTCCTTTCCTCATGTTGACTCCTGCTCTGGCTCCAGGCTGCCAGGAAGCCAGCTGGGTCACCATGTACTGGGCTTCAGGCACTGGAGATCTGCAGCTGGGCCCACATACATGATCCAAGGACATGGCAATGTCCACTCTCATCAGGTCTACTGTCCTTCACAGTAGTTCAGGAAATGCTTTAGAATGCCCTCTGAGGCTGAATCACACCTGCTCTGGAGTGTCGGCAACTGCTTCCTTTCCTGGCTGGGAAGATGTTTCATTTGTGGGTGAATTCTGCTTCCTGTTAGAGTCCTTTTCAACCCCAGGGAGCAACCGCAAGAGGGACCTCAAATGTCTGAGGGCACACGAGTGCAGGACATTGAGGGCTGCAAACAATTCCATATCAGTTCAATCTGTAGTCCTCTGACATAAACTGGCATACATAAAGCACTGCTCAAGGCTGGCAGTGAGGACCCAGGACCTCTAGGAGAGGTACATTGACCTGGACCAACAGTGGAAAGTCAGCGGGTTACCCTAGGCCCTCTCAAGTGAACTGAATATCCTTCCTGAGACACAGTCCCAAATACATTGGGTGGGATCCAGATGCAAAGACAGCATCCTCCAATAGAACAAACACCCACATGCAGTGCTAGGGTGGAATTGCCTGAACACAGGACCCTGGAAACAGTTCTGTTGCCCATGGGCTGTTTCAGGAATACATTTGGGCCAGAAAGCTATGACGCAAGGGTTGGAGGCAACTCTGCCCCTCTTGGAGGGGCAGTGGGAGGCCAAAGATTTCCACTAGGCAGTAGAAATGCTCTAGCGCACAGGCAACAGGCTCCCTCTTTCGGCCACTACTGCCCAGGTGAGGACCACACGTGGAGTCCTGGTGTGGGCATTCTGTGCTGGTACTCACAGTTCAGAGTGCAACCCTCAGCAGAAATTCACCCTTTCTTTGAGATTCATCTCACCCATCCTGAAGAGCCAGGGCACAAAAGTCCATTTGCACTGACCACCCTTTCCTGCCTTGCCGGGCAATGGAAAGACAAACCAGTCAAGGCACCATGGACTTCTCATTTTGAAAAGGTGGTTCAAAACTGTGGGGACATATGGGCAATTCAGCTCACTTCAGTCCTGATAGGTCTAGGCCCTAAGCACCAAAGTGAGGTTAGAGTGGCCTCTCTACTCTGAGGACAGAGTCTGGTACCTCCAAAAGGTGGCTTATCACATCCCACCTTGGATGTCATCATAGACTGGAGAAAACGCGTACTGCTGGTTTCTTTTTCTCTCCACTCAGCATTGGTAGACATGGAAAAGATGACTGTCATGAGCCACAGAAGCCTGATTCTGATAGAATCATTTCCATTGTAGTCTTCTGCAGAGGGAGATCTGAATCACCTTGCTGGGGTCTCCCTTGTCTTTGCTGCAGTGTTTACAGAAATTATTCCTTACTTTTCTGCCTCAGTTTCCTTTTCCTCAGAGCAGGCTGAATTGCCACAGAGGTCTGGGGAAGGGTAGCCCTTGCTGGAGCTGTTGACACATTTTCCACCAGCTCAGAACTTCCTTCCCTCAGGGACTAGTTACACAGTTCTCGCTCACTGTAATCCCAAGGAGAGAGGAGATGCAGCAAGACCCTTCAGGAGGATGATTCTTTCTAAAGGCAGCATGAGAGTTTGGAGGGCAGGTAAATTCATGTGCTACTGATGACTCAAAGCAGAAACTGATGGAAGCAGAGTACAGGAGTGTAGCTGTCTATGTGGCAGGAGTTGGGGTCTGCAGAGACAAGAAGGAAGAGAAGGAAGAGGACAGGAAGAAACTGAGAGTAAGATCCAGCCCCTGGGTTTTGTTTGCAGGTACCATCGAAGTCAGTGCTTCACACTGAGGGTTACAGGTAGATGTTGTATGTGCACAGGTAAATTTGGTGTTGTTAATTTTCTCATGGGAGTCTGCATGGTGTCAGTTATAGAAGACCTATGCCTCCTTCTTGTCCTTTCATGGATGTCTTCCTTCCTGAGCTCACTCCTTCCTCCAGATACTTTCTGTGTCCCTGGCACTGCTGAGCTCTCGGGCACCGAGGCTGTTACTGCTCGTTACAGCTGTGCCTCTGCTGTGCAGAAGCCAGGCCAGGGGTGCTCCCATAGGTCAGCTGGGCTGCAAGAATGGCCTGGGCAGGTATGTGGGCCCAGGGTGCCTGCACAAGTCACTTTTCCTCTCACAGTGAAATTCCACTTACCTTTATTTCTCCCTCGTACACACACTTATGTCTCAGGGATCAGTCTCCCATCTTCAGCTTTCTCACATTAGACCCTATGCCGCTCTCCAGGTACAGCACCGATTTTGGAGCCCTCTCTCCACAGGAGTACCTCACAGAACAGTTCATCCCAGCCCAGGAGAGGGATGTTATGGGGTTAGTATGATTGTCCATTTTGAGGTGCCAGTCCTTCCCAGCAACTCTCTGTTCTGTGAAGGTGCCTGTCACTGTAGCCTCCAATTCCCTGTAAAAGCTCTAAAGTGATAAGATGGGAAACCACAGACAAATCAGTGTGTCCCTCCTCATTTTTTTAAGAAATGCAAGATGAAGGATTGGGCAGAGGGCTTTGTTTCTCAGCATTGGGCTTCCCTGCACGGATACACAGATGCCTACTGGGCATTTACTTCCATCATGTACTAGGTACTGCTCCTGTCCTGTCTCAGCTCCCACTTCCTGTCCCTTTCCCTATCAGAGTAAATAACTCAGAGAGCACGTCCTGAAGTGTGGAGGTGCAGATGCTGTGCTGTTGCAGGAAGGCAACCCAAATGCACTCAGACACTGCAGCTGAAGGAGAAAAGATATGGAGCACATGATCTTCATGATCTTCTCTGACCTATTTCCTTCTTTCTAGAACAGTCTTACTTCTTCACATTGCCTCATTGATTCAGATGTCCCTTTCCTTTCCTTTCCTTTCCTTTCCTTTCCTTTCCTTTCCTTTCCTTTCCTTTCCTTTCCTTTCCTTTCCTTTCCTTTCCTTTCCTTTCCTTTCCTTTCCTTTCCTTTCCTTTCCTTGCCTTTCCTTTCCTTTCCTTTCCTTTCCTTTCCTTTCCTTTCCTTTCCTTTCCTTTCCTTTCTCTCCTTGCCCTTGCCTTGCCTTGCCTTGCCTTGCCTTGCCTTGCCTTGCCTTGCCTTCCCTTCCCTTCCCTTCCCTTCCCTTTCTTTTTTCTTACAGAGAATATGAAACCTCTCATGTGGGATTCCTGGAAGAACAGGGACATATTGTGAGCAACCCAGACACTCTGAATATGGACTTGATCAGTCTGTAGCAGTACAGGCCTCAAGGACATCGGAAGGTCAGCTGCGGTTAAAAGATGCTCTACAAATAGTGACCAATCATAATCGAGTGTTGTCTATATAATCCAGATGCTCTGCTAATAAAATTTGGCTATTGTCTGATCATATTGATCGTGTGACGAGTCCGTGACTTCCGCGTCAACACTCTCAGGTGTGTGTGAACGTCAGTGCTTTCTCTAGAAGATGCTGCCTCCAGAACTCCTTTATGAATCAACACATCAACAAGAGCTCTGTCTTGCAGCTCTCCTACCTGGCAAGTAGAGAAAAAAAAATCTACAACACAGCATGGAGAGAAGGGAATGGGACAACAAGAAATTGCTCATGGAGTTTCACTTGTTGGGACTGGGGGATGCCCATGAGCTCCAGACAGCACTCTTTCTGCTCTGTCTGACCATATACACAGTAATCAGGGTGGGGAACTTCCTCATCATTGTGCTGGTGGTCACAGACCCGCATCTCCACACACCCATGTACTTCTTCCTGGTGTATCTGTCCAGCCTAGAGACCTGCTACAGCTCCACCATCCTACCCAGGCTGATAGCCAGCTTCCTGACCAGAGACAGAACCATCTCTGTGCAGGGATGTATGGCACAGTTTTTCTTCTTCAGCACTTTTACAACTTCTGAGTGTCACCTGCTGGCTGCTATGTCATACAATTGGTATCTGGCCGTATGTCAAACCCTGCTTTATGCAAGACTCATGAACTGGAAGGTATGTCTCCAGCTGGTGGCTGGATCATGGGTTGCAGGTCTTCTGATTTCTACAGGAATCACAACTTTCGTATCTTGGCAAAGGTTCTACTGCCCCAGTGCAATTGACCATTTCTTCTGTGAAGAAACTCCATTGCTAGAAATCTCATGCAGTGACACTAGGATGGTTAGATTTCCTGTCATCGTATTATCTTTCCCAGATGTAATTTTCCTATTTCTGTTCGCTCTGGCATCCTTTGTCTACATCATAGCTGTTATCCTGAGGATCCCATCCAGCATGGGGAGGCACAAGGCCTTCTCCACCTGCTCCTCTCACCTCACTACGGTCTTTGTTTTCTACGGGACCGTCATCATTGTTTACATGCTGCCCAGAACAGTGCCATTGAGACAGCTCAGCAAAATGTTCTCCTTTTTTTACACAGTCTTCACACCTCGCATCAATCCACTCATCTACAGTCTGAGAAGAGAGAGATCAAGGGGGCACTGGGGACGGTGCTCAGGAGGGCTGCTACCCACACTGACAGCTTCAACTAGTTGTGGATTTCAGGGCACAAATCTGGTTCTTCTGCAAGCTAACAAAGAGAATATGGAAAGGAATGCGTTCCATCCCAGGAGCACCTCTGCAAGTGTCTGGCTTCACCTAGGTTGTGCAATGGCAAGAGGCAGAGGGAGAAGAGAGCCTTAGGGAAACAGATGCCCATTTGAGAAGAAAAGGTATTATCTTTCTCTGGCTTGCTTTTTCCTTAGAGGCAGCAGAATGGTTGGGGTTACTGTATGTGGGAATTGAAACCAAATGCGGAACTTCTCTATATCAGGGAAGTGAATAAAGCAGTCTGGGTTGAAACGTGACCTTGGTCTTGGACAAGTGTGGCCCCATTTTTTCTGACTATGAGTTCCTGGGGTGTGAACTGTCTTCCTTTAGTCATGCACATTTCCAGTGAGGAAGTCATTCAGGCTATGACCTTGGTGTCACTTATATTCAGTGGAAATCCTTGGCTCAACCACTGAGTATCCCACACATCCAGGTGTTCCTGTCAGGAAGATTTCGAGACATGATGCAGTGGCCTGTATGGATATGGCGAGCAAATGGACACATGAAGAAAAGTGAAGGTATCTGAGAGGGCCCCTAGCCCTGACTGTGGCCAGCAGCATTCACATCTGTAACATCAGAGACTCCAGTGGCAACAGGTCTGTCATTAACCCACCCTGAGATCAGTACTAAACACAGGTGACACATGTTATGCCTTTAGAGCACTTCATTCTTCCTGCAGTTTGGAAGTATTTAAATTTTTCTCACAATGTCCTGATGGATGAATTGTTCCAGAGTTGTGGCACTCTGACAGATCTGAAATGACTTATTTTGCAGAGGAATAAATTTGAGAGCTGAAATATCTGAACATAAGCAGCAACTTGCAGTGTTACGTTGGAGCTGATGTGAAATGCCAATAGGCTGAGTCTCTGACAGACTTGGACTTGCGGAATCAGGTGGAGTGGAGAAGACCCTTTCACTGTTGTGACACTTGTAAATCTCTGTTTCACGATTTACTTATTTACAGGGAATCCAGATTGCATATGGAGTTGGTGTTGAATGGTGAGAGGTTTAGTTTTCGTAGAAAGCATTTGAGAAGTATTTAATATACTTTTCACCTATCCTGAGATACGACCAGTTTTTAAATAAGGTCAACATAGACCTTGCATCCCATCTGCTTCCCTGGACTTATGTAGGCCCAATTTGGTTGTGTGCTCCCTATCTTAATCTTTCTTCTTTGTGGGTAATGCTTCCCTCGTGCAGATTATGCGCTAGCCTCAGGGATGTGGTAAAATCAATGTCTCTGTATTCCTCCTGGGTAGCCTATTTGCTGACAAGTAGCTCCCTGAATCAGATTAAGTTTTTTTTCTTGGTTCTGGTGTTACTATTTGTCTTACCCACTTCTCTCAGAATGTCAAACTCTACCATTTCATGCTCACTGCAGCCAAAGATGCCTTCAGACTTCATACCCTGACACAGTTCTTCGATTTAGGTGAACAACTAGCAGAGCAGATAATTTACCCCAGTCAGTGATCAGTGGATCACTTGCATTAAAAAATGTTTTTAATACACTGCAGATATCACCTGAGTTGCTTGTGATCCACTGTGTTGCCCTTTCAGCAGATACCAGGAGGAGCAGGGAGAGTTCCCCAGGAGATGAGGAGCTGTGGCTGTAAGGCTTCCTCTAGCAGCCTGAAGAAGCCTTGTCTACTTCCTCTCCTTGATCAGATGGCCTGTAGTAGGTGTCCAGCATGACATCACCATGTTGATCTGTCCTCCAAGCTTTTCCCAGAAGTTCTTGACTGTCTCTCCAGTTCCATGAAGGGAAAAACCCACACATTTAAGCCACTGCCAAGTTTCCCAACATTCAGGAAATATTCTAGAAGACTAGAAGTATCAAACACGTGGCTGTGAAGATTGTGATATCTCTAGAGCTGAAAATAAGTAGATGGCAAAGATGGATGTCTAAATACAGAAATGTTAAGGTTTAATTCCTCCTACCTCATTTTAGATGTCAGACCATCTATCACAGTTCAGGCCTGAGTCATAACTAAATAAAGATCTGTGTTATTCGTCAGGTAACTAATCTTCTGCCCTTACTCAGGTCAGTGAGGAGGGATATTGTAGGTGATGCAGAGGTAGTGATCTGGTGTAGGAGGTGATGGATCACCCGTGGAATGTTCTGCTCTCTTTGTGTGGGTAAATGAAACAACTGAAGTGAATGCCTTTGATACACCACAGGTAGGTTTACCATCTCAGTGGAGACATCCGCAAGGAATCAGTCTCATAAACCTCACTTTCATGTTATAAATGAGCAGAAACAACATTCCAAGATGTAGATTGTCTCAGCTTATTGTGACTTTTTCAGATATGCATTTGGAGATTTGCTTTGTGTGACAAATGCAGCTGATTAAAGCAACCTGCCCAACTTCTCTCCTGCACACAAAAGCCCTCTTCCTGCCACCTCTCTCCCTAGAGTTCTTTGGACATGGGTGTGACGTTCAGCAATCAGATGGAGGTGCTTGTACAAGTTGGTACCTCAGGTAATGTGTTCACTTCTGATCATTTGATGAAGCAAGCCACACACACACAACAATGCATACTGGTCATGCAATTGATTCACACCATTCAACTAGACCTGTGGACTTCTTGTTCACATCGGCTTTCCCAGCACTTTCTGCCCTCTCCCCTAGATTGTCCTTATAGCCCAACTGTAGAGACACAAGATGGAGAAGTGGAGTTTAAGGTGGGTGAAAAATTCACTAGATATCTGGGCTCAGAGGATTCTCCCTAGAGGTAAATCATAGAATCATAAAATCATAGAAAGTTTTGGGTCAGAAGGGATCCCCAGAGGTCATCTAGTCCAACCCCCCTGCAGCGAGCAGGGACATCACTAACTAGATCAGGTTGCTCAGAGCCCTGTCCAACCTGGTCTTGAATGTTTCCAGGGATGGGGACTCCACTACCTCTCTGGGCAACCCGTGCCAGTGTATCACCACCCTTATTGTAAAGAATTTCTTCCTTATATCCAGCCTAAATACTCCATCTCCCATGAAGGCACCTTGATCCACTGAACTTGCAACATCAGAATGTCTTGTCTTTATGGAAACAAAATGCAAAGGCTCAAAAAAGAAGAAAGAAAGAAATGCCATTGTTTTGAGAGCTTATCAAAATCCTCCTATTTACTATTTCCCTTGCCAATAAAAACAAACAAACCAACAAAACTGGAAAAGCTCCCTAATCAGCCACATGAGAATAACTTATCTTCCAAGTCTTAATGAGTGGTAAAAAACCTTCACACCACACTTCAGTAGGGGCAGAGCTGGGTGGTGCTAGCCTTTAGGTCTCCTTAGGGGGATTGCACACGTCTTTAAATCATTGTATGCAACCTGGTTAGCAGGAATCTTGAGTCTTCTGCTCATGTTACTGTGGAAAAGCTATTCCTCTAGGAATTCTAGGTGGACCATTGTGTGCAAGGGGATCCATTTCTGTCTAACATCTCTTTAATAGCGCAGTGAACTGCACAGATTCAGTGACAATATTAGACCCAAGAGAAGGATGAATAAACAGTTGGGTAGCAGATGCCATTGATTTCTTTCTGAGCTTTAAAGATGGGCTTCTGCTCATGCTCTATTTAGCCAAGATCTGGCTTCATCCCAACTAAACAGATGCATTTAAATGAAGCAATCCAGTTCAAAGTCTAATTATGTAGCCTGCTACAACCTGGAGTCAGGTCCTCTGGTGGGGCCTCTCATGATTCTTTTCATTTTTCCAGGTTTCCAAGGGCTTAGTCCTCCTTCAGCGTCCCACTGCAGTTGCTTCTACAGTGTTCATTCTGTTCTGTCCCCATCTAACTTCAGAAAACCAAACCAGGTGTGGACCTTCAGGATGTCTGACTTGCTCCCCTGGACCATTCCTCTACCACTATCCCAGAAGATTGAGTACACACACCCTCACCCCTTTGTTTCTCATCCAGCACATGGAAATACACCTTAAACACCAAGCTACAGAAAGCCCTCTCTGATAGGCACTGCACATGACCAAAGAGAGATAAAGGCCTCAAGCTATATCCTCTGAAGGGCATTCTCCACCCACTAACAAGTCCTTTCCTGTGGCTGGGGGCTGGAATAGTTCATTCTAGGAAGGAAAATGTTCTCCTTCCACCCCCAACCTAAATGCAGTACCTTAGCCATCAGGTCCAACTTGTAACGACTGCTACCAGAAAGAATCCCAACTGATGAAAATGGGGACTTGTTGAGACCACTTCGTGGGCAGAATCTCCAAAATAGTGAGGTAAAGGAAAGTC